TTGCAGGTTTGATCCCCAGTAGGGGCACGTACAAGAGGCAACCGATCAATGTTTCTCATTCACATCGATGTTTCTCTCTCCCTATCTCTCACTCCCTTCTTCTCTCTCTAAAATCAATAAACATATCCTCCAACGAGGATTAAAAAAAAAAAAAAAGAACTGTAGACGTGATTACCAAAGAATTTTTAAACATATTTATCAGTTTAAAAATATCACACTACTAACAAGAAGGTTTCACTGATCCTTAATAGGACAATCCAAACAAAAATATTACAAAACTGATAAACTAAACATCTCTATTTAACACAGTTATATAAAGAATTTTCAGATATAATGAAATAGGATAAACATTTAAATAATGTTTAGTCATATAACATGCTTGCTACACTTTTAAGAAACAGTGCAGCAACTTACACGGAACTTAATCACTTGGCAACAGAAAAAAACAAGGCAGGCTAATGAATCCTAATTACACCCGAGCTAGAGTGCTTATCTCACAAAAGACCCAACTGCATATGCCACATTTTAGTATGAAATATAACTTACAATTAAGGAAATGATGGATGGGCTTTTCTACTAGACATATATCTAATTTCTGACATTTACTAAGTCACCAACTTAGAAATTCTGACATTGAATATTCTCTCAGACACAGCCTATTTTAGACCAACTTTTAGAGCAAACAATGTACCCAAAGAATTAAAAATGGTCAGAAAAACACTTTTACACTCTTCTATTCCCTTTTCAAAACAGGGAGGAAACTCAGTTTAAGTTTTTCTTAAAACTCATTCAATATCTTCCACAGAAAACCCAGTTAATGATTAAAAACCCTTAAAATAAAAATGATATTTTGTGTGAAAATTATATCTAAGAAGCTAAAGTCAGAACAATCATCTGTTCTTAATTTAGCTTCTTAAATACAAAATTGACATGAACATAACTCAGTTCTTGTTTTTTCTTATGATTCAGTAAGTAATTCAAGTAGCCAATGTCCTTTCAGATTTTTAAAAACATATTTATATGCTTTTCATTTGTGTGCAAAGGAATCAAGCAAGAATTAAAAAAAAAAAAAAAATCATAGTTGAGACAAAGAGCAGTGTGAAATATACTTAACCTAGTAATATATGCTAATGGACACTGTACTAGACATAAACCAGCTACTAAATAAATAGCATTTCCCTTTAGGAAATTTTGCTCAAATTTTTTTGGGACATATTTAAGTACCAAGTCAGTATTTTTCAAAGTTTTGTTTTTCCACATCCTTAACAGAGCATTTTTACACAACTCAAATGTATTCTTTTGCTCTTCTTTATGAGCTGGCATCCATTTGTGCTACCTGGACTCTTACCTCTGCTTCTCAAAGTGTGCTGGTCTGCCTACAGAGAGTTAAAAGGGTCCTAGATTTCTGCTGCCCCATTCATTATATGAAAATAGCCCTGGCTGGTGTGACTCAGTTGGTTGGAGCAATATCCCATACACCAAAGGGTCACAGGTTTGATTCCAGGTCAGGGCGCATGCCCAGGTTGCAGGTTTCGGGTTCAATCCCAGGTCAGCACAAGTGCAGGAGGCAACCAATCGATGTTTCTCTCTCACATCAATGTTTCTCTCTCTCTCTCTCTCCTTTCCTTTCTCTCTCTAAAATCAATAGGAACATGCTCTTGGGTGAGGATTGAAAAATAAAAATAGCACTAGCTGATTTGCTCAGTGGTTAGAGCATTGTAGCGCAGACTGAAGTGTCGCCAGTTCGATTCCAGTCAAGGGCACGTATCTTGGTTGCAGACTCGATCCCTGGCCCCAACTGGGGCGTGTGCAGGAGGCAACCAATAGATGTGTCTCTTTCACCTTGATGTTTCTCCCTCTCTTTCTCCAACCCCCTCCCTTCCACTCTCTCTAAAATTCAATGGAAAAAATATCCTCAGCAAGGATTAACAAAACAAAACAGAACAAGAACAATAATAAAGCCCAAGACACAACAATAATAATAAAGCCCAAGACACAACAAAAACAATGATGATAATAAGCCCAAGCCACTTCCAGACTAACCCAACTCCTGTCAAGATTCATCAGAGGAGCCCGGCCGGGCGTGGCTCAGCGGTTGAGCATCAACCTAGGATCCAGGAGACTGGGGTTTGATTCCCGGTCAGGGCACATGCCCGGGTTGCGGGCTAGGCAGCCGGTCAATGACTCTTTCATCATTGATGTTTCTATCTCTCTCCCTCTCCTTTCCTCTCTCTGAAATCAATAAAGATATGTTTAAAAATAAATAAATAAGATTCATCAAAGGAATCTTTGCCTTTTACAGGTTATCTGGGCCATATTCCTGATAACAAATACTAGGATAAAAACACATCTTAGCTTTGCTGAGAAATTAACAATCAATTTCCTCAATTTCAGAAATTGCTTCACTTGGATAAGTTCTGATAAATGGGACGCCTGAGTGATATGCCCCAAGAGCACTTCTTCCTCTAGGCTCATGCAGCAATGAGTATGTCAATTACAGTATTTATCAGTTTTATGACAACTTTGTTACATGCATATGTATTCTGTAAATACCTGAATTTGGATCTATTCGTAGAAAATGTAGTAGTGTTAATTAAACAAACTTCTGATCAAAGTAACTAAGATGACCACTTATTACAGAGCTCAAGATTTCCTGGTTCCAGTTCCTTTGCCTCAGCCAAAAGCAAGTTCTCCCTCTCCCTCATCTTTGAATATCTATAGCATTTTATCTGTAAAGCACCGTATCACATTTTCCTCCTATACAATGACTTATGCACAGATCTATGTTTGATTCCTTTTTCTATCACCAACAACCTAAACTAGGTAACTTTTAATTGTCAGTATTTTTGGATGACTAAATAACAGCATATACTCACACACTTGCTCTCTCTCTCTCTCACACACACACACACACACACACACGCAAAAATACAAAAGGAGGTAGGAAATTGGTTTCACCACATATTCAATATGAATTATGTGATAGATCTAATAAAAATCTAATGATGTAATAGGAATGTGGTATCCAAACCAAAAGCAGCTAGAATTTCAACTTTTCCTTTTGGCAGTCATACCTTATTTAGAATATAGTATGAAATCTATTTTGAGACGGTGGCTTAAAACTTAGGGGGGGCTTGCCCAGCAGGCATGGCTCAGTGGTTGAGTGTCGACCCATAAACCAGGAGATCATAGTTCGATTCCCAGTCAGGGCACATGCTCGGGTTGTGGGCTTGGTACCCAGTGGGAGGTGTGCAGGAGGCAGCCAATCAATGACTCTCTCATCATTGATGTTTCTACTTCTCTCCCCCTCTCCCTGAAATCAATAAAAACTTATTTTAAAAAAACCTTAGGGGGGGGCTTAATGATTGCATATTATTTCACAGTACTAATAAAGAATGGGTAACTAAAAAATATCTGAAGTTAAGGGTCATAAAAATTTACATGAAATGCTGCCACTAAAATTTTTATCTCGAAAACAAACAGGCCCTGAATTAAATCTTTTTCGCTCCTTCAAATCAAAGTAGGAGATTTTATAACTTAAGTACTTTTTTCTACAATGATCATTACTTTGTAATATGGAAAATAAGTTAATTTAAGCAATTCATTTATTTCATGTACAAAATACTTTGTTTCATAGTATTTATTATCTGATTTTCATCCATTAAAATATTTCTTAAGCATCTGTACTGTAAGTGCAAATAATGGACATATTAAATAGTAGCCAGGTTCTCTGCCTGTGAGGAATAAAAACCAGTTACAGAAAAATAAACAAGAAATACACGCATGAACAGGAAGAGAAAATGAATACAAGGCCAATAATACAGATAAGTAATTTAAAGTTCAAAGGAAGGTGTAGGTAAGGCTTCAGGGAAGTACAACTTGAATTGTACATTAAAAGATGATGAAAATTATTTAAGATAAATGACCTGAAACAAACTGTACATGGTTTAATCAGCAATCAGAAGATTGTTCTGGGTGAAACAGACAATGTTGGGAACAGGAGTAAGTTTAGAATAATAGACTAGAATTAATTTACAGAGAATCTTGAAAGCCAAGTTAAGAAATCTGGCTAATAATTGTTAATTGAAGACTTTAGAGCAATAAGCTGGCATGAAAAAGGAAGCATTTAAGGAAGAGTCATCTTATAGCAGTACATAAGGATAGTTTTAATGATAAATGGAGTAGAAATGGGGAAACCTGTTAGGAGGTGACTAATAAATCAAAAGTACACCAGTAAAAAAAATACAAAAGGAATAGATTTACTACTTACAGCAGGCAAGTAAGAGAGTCTGACAAAGAATACTCAAAGATTTTGTATCTAAGTACCCCTAACAGACAGAAAGAAAAAAAATAGGCATTTGAGTCAGTTGGGTCTAGGCAAAATCTGTGCTATGTAATTTTAAAGAATTTAACTTCTTTGAGCCTTAGTTTACTTAGTTGAGAGGATTAAATAAGAAAATGCATATAAAGTATCTATGCACCTGAAACACAACAAGCACTAAATAACCATGATTTTACCTCTCCCCCTTGGCTCCCTGTTCTTTATCCTTTAACAATTCTGTCTGAGAATTGAGCAGTACAGTAGGCAACCTATCTACTACAAGTTGTCATTTTAGAGCTGATGAAATTGAGTTCATGAGATATTAAATGACTTATTCAATGGCATACAACCAGCTACCTTCACTATTGGTACATAAAACACATAAAAAGTAGTGGAAAACTATGAACATAAAATCTTCTTTAAAGACATATCCTCTAATAACACAATAGAAGATCTAACTCATAAATTTAAAAATATTTAAATGACTATTTCCTTAACAATATAAAAAGGGCAATCCATTTTATAAGAAAACATTTTTTTAATGTATATATCAAATTCCAGTGTAGGCTGAATTTCTAATAGGGACATTTCCATTACAAAAGGTACATTAAGGATATAAATTTCTTCTTTTAACTTAGATTGGATTTAGGGGAACCTCAAACACAATAAATTTACTCACCTTCCATGGGCATGGAAATCTAGACGTAAAAACTGGTCCTCGTGTGAAATTGCTCTTTTGGCACGCTGGTGTTTCTGGTGTAATGAATCCACATCATAAGATAATCCTTCATAATGTCTAATGTATTTAGTTAAAGGATTTCCATACTGACCTATGAAAAATAAACACTTTGAATTAGCATCATCTTGAAGGCTCATTTTAGTTCTAACATGATTCCATGATCATTCAAATATCTACAAATATGTATGAGACAATTTTCTCACTAATCTTAATACTTTATTTTCACATATATTGTTTTAAAACTTACTGTAATGGGAATTTCAACTATATACAAAATTTAGATGTTAGCCAAAGGTTTGTCTTAGATGTATGTACATTTTTAAAAACTTATTGCAATGGAAATTTCAATCATACACAAGTCTGGACATTAGTCATAGGTTTGCTTCAGGTGTCTTTTATCAGGTTGAGGATGTTTTCTTCATACTTTGCTGATAAATACTATCAGGAACAAATGTTGACTTCTGCCACCTGTTCTTTCAGCATCAATTAAGATGTTATATTGTTTTCTTATTAGTTTATTAACATAGCAAATTGACTGATTTTCTAATGTTAAACCAATCTTGTATTACTGCAATAAATACTACTTGGTCATGGTGTATTATCTTGCACAGTATTGTTGGATTCAACTGGCTATAATTTTGTTTAGAATTTTTATCTATGGTCATGAGAGACATTGGTCTGTAGTTTTCTTGTACTTACTGTCATTGTCAAGTTTTGATATTAGAGTAAGAAATGAGTTGGGGCCCCAGCCAGGAGGCTCAGTTGGTCAGAGCATTGTCCCATACACCAGAAAGGTTGCAGGTTCAACCCTTGGTCAGAGTGGGTACAAGATGCAACAGATCTATGTTTCTCTTCTTTCTCTTCCCTTCCTCTCTCTAAAATCAATAAACATATCCTCAGGTGAGGATTAAAAAAAAAAAGTTGGAAAGTATTCTCTCTTCTTCAGTTTTCTGGACAAATATATGTATAATTGGTATTATATCCTCTTTAAATGTTATGTAGAATTCACCAGTGAAGTCATCTTGGCCTAAAGTTTTGAATGCTTTTACCTACAATTTCTACTTCAATATAGATGTACTATATGTAATATATGTAACATATAACACTAACTACAATATCTGTTTCAATATACATAAAGAGTTATCCAGGTTATCTATTTCTTGAGTGAGCTTTGGTAAGAATTTGTCCATTTCATTCAAGTTGTTGAAGTTATGGAGATAAGGTGGTTCGTAATTTCCCCTTACAATGTTTTTATATCTTCTGAACTTCTCATTTCTGGTATTGATAATCTGTATCTTCTTTCATTCGTTCCAAATTAGGAGAGTAGAGATTTTATTAATCTTCTCAAAGGACCAACTTTTTGTTGTTGCTGCTGCTGTTGTTGTTAATCCTCACCCAAGAATATTTTTTCCATTGATTTTTTTTAGAAAGAGTGGAAGGGAGGGGGAGAGACGGAGAGAGAAACATCAATGTGAGAGGGACACATAGATTGGTTGCCTCCCACACATGATCCGACCGAGGCAGGAGATCGAGGCTGCAACCAAGGCACGTACCTATGACTAGAATCAAACCAGCAACCCTTTAGGCGGGGCAGTTGCACTAACCACTGAGCAAAACAGGCTAGGGCAAGACAAACTTTTATTTACTTTGATTTTCCTTCACTATTTTTGTTTTCTATTTTGTTGATTTTCACTTTAATCTTTATTATTCCTTTTTTTCTACTTACTTTGAATTTAATTGCTTTTTAGTTTCATGAAGTGAGGCCACTGATTTAAGACATTCCTGTTTCTAATCCTGGTTTTTAGTGCTATAATTGTCCTCTTAATACTATTTTAGCAGCATCCCACAGATTCTGTTGTTACTATTTCATTCTGTTCAACATACTTAATATGGTCTATCTTTGCAAATGTGTCATGTGCACTCGAAACGAATGTGTATTCCACTGTTAATGGATGAATGTTCTAGGAATGTCAATCTCTGCTCTTAACTAGTGTTCTAGAAATGTCAACCAGATCAGGTTGATTGATGGTGCTGTTAAAGTCTTCTTTACACTTACTGATTTTCTATATACCTATTCTATTACTGAGAGGCACTGAAATCTTTGCCTATGATTGTGACTTTATTTCTCTTGCAGTTCTTTGCTTCACTGACTTTCAAAGCTGTTATTACATGCATAAATATTAATGATTATTATGACTTTTGGATTCACTCCCTTATAATCAAATGATCTTTATTCTTTGTGATATTCTACTTTGTGACAATCTACTTTGTCTGATGATAATATAGTCATTCCGTCTTTTTTTTAACTAATATAGTACGTATCTTTTTCCATCCTTTTACTTGTAACCTATTTGTGTCTTTATACCTAAAGTGAGTTTGTACAGGCAGAAAATAATTGGATATTGCTTTTTTATCCAATTCCATAATCTCTGCCTTTTAATTAGGGTGCTTTGACCATTTACATTTAAAGTGATTACAAATGTGGTTAGGTTTAAGTCTATCATCTTGCTATATATTTCTATTTGTCTCTTCTGTTCTTTGTTCCCTTTCCTTCTTTTGGACTATTTCTTTTTTATGATTTTATTTCATCACTTTATTGGCTTATTAGAAAAACTCTTTCTTTGGTTATTTTAGTGGTTAACTTAGGGTTTACAGTATATACCTTTTACTTATCCCAGACTACCTTCAAGTGATATAACATTTCAGGTACAAGAACTTGACATTAATACAGTTCCATTTATCTCCTTCTGGTTTTTACACTATTACCATCATATGTTTTATTTACATATATCTTACAAACCCCACAATACACTGTTATTGTTTTGGTTTAAAGTGATAATTATCTTTTAAAGGTTTCATATATATAATATATATGATATATGATACACATATATCTCAAGAAAAAAATCTTCTCTGTCATTTCCAAGTCTCTTCATTCCTTTTTGTAGATCATATTTCCATCCAGTATCATTTACTCTATAACTGGATGACTTCCTCTAACATTTCTTCTGCTGGTGAAAACTCTTCAAGCTTTTGTTATATCTGAAAGTCTTTGTCCCTTTTTTTCTTAAGTATGTTTTTATTAATTTCAGAGAGGAAGGGAGAGGGAGAAATAGAAACATCAGTGATGAGAGAGTCATTGACCGGCTGCCTCCAGCACACCCCCTACTGGGGATCGAGCCTGCAACCTGGGTATGTGCCCTGACAGGGAATTGAACTGTGATCTCATAGGTTTTGTTCAACTGCTGAGCCACGCCAGCCAGGCTCTGTTTCGTTTTGAATGGTTTTTCTTACTTTACCTTCTACTTCATTAATATTCTGCAATGTCTAATCTGTTGTTAATATCATCCATTGTACTTTCCACTGAAAATATTTTTTATCTCTAGAAGTTAGATTTATATCTGTTTCCTATCTTCTATGTCTCTACATAACTTTTTAAACATAAGGAATACAGTTATAACTCTTTTAATGTTCGTGTCTGCTAATTCTATGTCAGTTCATGAATTGGTTCTGACTGCTTATTCTTCTCATTAGGGATTGTTTTCCTGCTTCATTCCTGCATGCCTCATAATCTTTCAGTAAATGGGTGCCAGACATTGTGAATTGCACCTTGTTGGGTTCTGGACATTTTTTGTATTCTTATATTCTCAGGCTTTGTTATAAAACGAAGTAGAGTTGCTTGGAAACAGTTTGATCCTTTTGGGGCTCGCAGTTATGAGTGCTCAGTTTAAGGCAAATTATTCCCCACTACTGAAACAAGAGCTGAGTACTCAACCCCATTGCTTCACAAAGTATTAATCTTTCTAGTGTGGCCAATGAGAACAGGTACTATTTCTTCTTCTATGTGGCATGAGGCACTGTTTCCTTCCCTGGCTTCAGGGTCATTTCCTCATATGTACACACTGATCAATAATCTGCTGGATACTCCAGGCAAATCCTCAGCAGATCTCAGAGATTCTCTCCATGCAGCACTCTTCATTCTGATATTCTGTCTGCAAATTCTAACTATTTTGGTTTCCCTTTACTATCCTCTGTTCCATCACCTCAACTCAAAGAGTTTGTTGGCCTCTACTATACTGCAAATGGAAATTCTCCCAAGGAAGCTGGAGCAATCACAGGGCTTGCCTCATCTGTTTCTTCTCTCTCAGAGATCACTGCCCTTCATCTCCTGGTGACCACTGTCTTAAAAACCATTGTTTCTCAGTTTATTCCCTAGTTTTCTTATTTTTTTCAGGCACGGGGATAGAGCTGGTCCTGTTTTCTTCACCTCCATCATGAGCAGAAGTCAAAATTAGTGCTTCCTGAACAAATCAAGTAATATTTCTTCCTAAAGAAAACTGTCCTCTTTTATAAAACAAATAAAACACCTAATTTAAAAAAAAAAACAACAAAACTATAATGGTTTGCCTCATGTATTATATAAAGCCTAAGTGTTCCATCACTAATTTTCTCTATGCAGTCAGTCGCCAGTCACTATACGGTTAAGGACACAACTATTAGGTCAAACCATCTGGGTTTAAGTTCTGGACACTGATTGCACAACAAGGTAAATATCCTTAACATTACTAAACTGTACTCTTAGAAATGGTTAAGACAGCCCTGGCCAGGTGACTCAGTTGGTTGGAGCATTATCCCATGCACCAAAAAGGTTGCAGGTTCATTCCAGGTCAGGGTACTTACCTAGGTTTCGGGTTTGGAGACAACCAATCGATGCTTCTCTCTCATATCAATGTTTCTCTCCCTTTCTCCCTCTCAATCTATTTCTCTCTCCCTCCCTCCCTTCCTCTCTCAAAAAAAAAAAAAATCAATAAGCATATCCTTGAGTGAAGATTAAAAACAAAAATGGTTAAGACAGCAAATTTTATGATAAGTATCTTTCACTAAACTAAAATAATTATCTAGGTTTAAATCCCATTCCCTTCATTTATTAGCTTGTTTCCCTGATCAAATGGTGAATTCAGCTTCAGTTTCCTATTCTTAAAATGAAGATAAGCAGAATACCTCTCTCTTAAGGCTGTTACAGAAACTAAATGATTTAAGCTATATGTGGCAATTAGCAAAGTGACCATACCATACATCTTGGTATGGTTGGC